CTCTGCTGCCTGTGTTGTAGACAACCAGTCCTCGCTTGTTCCTGCCACCCAGCGAGAGCATTGCCGTGAAGCTGCCCAAGAATTTATCCCTGAAGCACCTCAACTTGTCATCGTGTTCCTCCGTGTCCTCTGCATGCATCTCAGTACTCCTCTGCAAGTCCTGTGGCTGGCAGGGAAGGCTGCTGCTGCAGCTGCAGAAGGCACAGCCCAGAGTGCTTCGAGCAGCTTGGCAGCTGGCTGTCAAAGCCGTAGCTGTGGCCGTCTGCCCAGTGGCCGCTGTTCTCGGCGCTTTGCCAGCAGTTTGGCACGGAGAGAAGTCTCACGCAGCCTTGGAGGAGTTTGAAAAATGCCCTAAAGAGGTCAATCAGGGGAAGGCACTGGTCAGAGTTTTGCTTTGACCGGTATGGACTGAGGAATGGAGAGACTTGTTGCTACCTTCTGCTGCCAGATCCAGCCCGCTCACCCAGAACAACCTTACGCAGCACAGAGCAGCATCTGTGGGACTGTGATGTTCTCCTGAGGGACTCTCCTTTTGCCCAGTGTGGGCTGTCTTGAAGCACGAGCTGGTGGTCATGGGGGCACGTTCACATCAAAGCCATTCCATGGGAAAGTTAGGATTGACACACGCCACTTCGAATTCAGTCTTTATAAATAGGCAAGGCTTAGGAGCCATGGGCGGCAGCGTTGTAGAGCCGGCCAACGCACGCAGCTGTGGGGTTTGGGTGGTGGAGGTGACTGGTCTGTGCTGGGAATCCAGCGAGGAAAGAGCAAAGGCATTTCTGTTTAACAGTAGGGAGGAACAATATTCATTATTTCTCTGAAAATTCAGACCGTTAAAAGTCCATGTTCCAGGAAAAACTCAATTCTGAGGCATCTCCTGAGGAATGTGGTTTCTACGTAGATAACTCTTTCTTCTGGGAGTAGAGCTGGGGAAAAGTGGGTACGAAGGCTGGCACAGGGACGGTAGCGGGGGCAGCTAGCGCAGCGAGGTCCTCAAAGGGCCCATTGAAATACCGACCACGAACCCCAGCTACGGCCGCTCCCGTCAACTGTGTCACGCTGCGGGGCAGAACAAACCGCCCACCCCACGTCTGTGTGTGGTTTCTGTGCGTTCTGTTGCAGCTCCCCTCCAGCCAAGCCGGTGGCATTTGAGCAGTTTAAGGAGGAGGGCGGAAGTGAGATCAACCAGATCTTTAAAGAGAACAAAAGCATCCTCCTTGCCAGAAAGAAGAGAAGCCGTACAGTAGCCCAGAGGATCAACTTCATCAAGCGTGAGATGGAGGGCATCAAAAAGGCGCTGGAGGCTCAGAAGCAGGAGCGGTGGCAGCAGGGTAAGTCGCGGTGTGGAGACTGGCCAGTGAGAATCTGACAGAAGAGGGGAGCCGCTGGTTTTGAAGCAAGTTCTGGTGGTGAGACCACTAGACCACCACTGCTGCTTGCCAGGGCAGCGGGGCAGGCTGGACTTTATGCCCTAGCTCTGCAGCTGGCCTTGTGGGTTGCCACCTGATTCCTCCACCTGAGTCCTCCACGCTTCGGCCTCATTGAGTTGTGCCGCTCAGGCTTTACGCTAGCAAGGTGAGCTGCAGTCAGATTTATTCCTCACCCCACGCTTTGATGGATTAGGCAGCGTACTGCTGAAAAACACAGGTCAGCACAGGGCAGAAATCACGGACAGCGGGCTTGTCCTTACTGTGGTGGAGACATCCTGCATCTCCTACAGCTTGATTTCATCTAGATCAGGGTCTGGCTTATGAAAGTCAAAATCCCAAACTAGCACTGGAGATAAAAATGGGGTAAGTGCCTTCCTACTCTGCTGCAGCAAGGTGTTTGTTAGGTGGAATATGCCTGGATGAGACTAGGAAGTGTGTCAGGCTTCGTGCTCCCTGCAGCAGGGCTCCCAAGCGCCGGTGCTGTTGCGTTCTGCAGAGTTGCAGAGAAGAAATGTCTCTGGGCGAGGAGAGAAATCTGAAAGAAACGGCTTTAATAGCAGAGTGGTCTGGAGCGCTCTGCCTGTGATGGCGAGGAAGCAGCAGTGGTGTTCCTCACATGCAGGGAGGACCGCAAACCGACTCAGTTCTGCGCAACGACAGCCGTAACTACTGCCAGGCAATTAGTGGGAAGCACGAGGGAACGAGAGAGAAAGAGAATGGTCACCAGCAAGCAGGCCCTGACTGGTGAATGAGGGCCAGAGGGTCAGACCCAGTGAATGCTGCTCTGCTGGTTGCCATTCCTCTTCCTAGAAAGAGACTTTTATGACCATGCTTTTGCAAGGGGCCTTTTCCCATAGGCTCTGGTCCTGCAAGATGCAAAGCTCTTTTGGCTCAACGATGAGCAAATCAGCTTGGATCCATACCGAAGCGAGGGTCTGTCTTTCCATGGACTCGTTGCTTCTTTTGGGCCTTTGCTCTTTATTGTGGCATCTACCAACTGGTGGTTTATTGTAGAGGCTGGAAACCACAGGGATAAGCTGATTTGAGGGAAACCAAGAAGAGGAGATCACAGAATCCCAGCATGGTAGGGATTGGAAAGGACCTCTGGGGATCATCTAGTCCAACCCCACTGCCAAAGCAGGGTCACCTAGTGCAAGTGTTTATCATAGGGAAGTAGCACTGCCTTAATTGTCCCCAAACGGCTGGCTAGCCCTTTATCTCCAAAACCCTTACCATGGCTGCCCAGGGAGTTCTTCAGTAAGAGCCATAAAGCCCTAGGTGACGCCCTCCAGCAGGCTGTCACGCGGGTGTCCTTCTTCAGAGCCCAGTTCCTCCTCTTCATCTGCACACGCCCCAGTTTGGAGAGGACTGATGTCTGAGCGGGTTCAAGGGTTCAGAAGTGATTTTGGCTACCACTCCAACACTGTGTTTGTAGAAAGCTTGTCTAAGGAAATGTCAATTGTGTGGTTAACCTCAGTATAACTGAGTAACTACTGTGTGGTTCGAAGTATAATGACTGTTCTTTGTCCCTCTCCACCCTCATGAGAAACCTTCCTTTCCTTTCCTTACCCTCCAGGAGAGTATGTTGATGAGAAAGGACAGATCAGAATTGCTGAGCAGGAGTTTTTACTCATCATGAAGCTGAAAGACCTGAAGGAAGAGTACAGATCTGGTTACGCTGAGCTGCAGGACCTGAAGGCAGAAATCCAGTACTGCCAGCATCTGGTGGACCAGTGCTGGAACAAACTCATCTCAGGTACGGGCTTGCCAGGGCGGTTTCTGAATGGCCTCCAGGACAGCTGGGATGCTTGATAGCAGCTCGGTGCTGACGCATTTCACAGACACGTTGCATTTAAGCCAGGCCCCTGTCATCCTCTCTTGTCATTTTTCTTGTTGCCTTCTAGACTTGTTTTTTATTGACGACCAGAGGTTTTTTATTTGACATTAAACCGAATTGCTGCAGATTCTCTCTCACAGATAACGACGTACTGCTCCTTGGTCACGCCACTAGAAGCAATGCTGTGGGTAAAAACCTTTCCCAATGAGGTTGGCAATAATGCTCCCACTGATGGCCCTGGTTCTCACCCTTGATTTCATGTAACAGAGATGGTGGCTAAGGAACTGCGCCGGGCCAGGGCTTTGGCTCTGGATTGCAGATGTCTCCTCCGTACCCCCGTGAGATCAGCATCACTCAGGTTCCCGTGCTGCAGCACGGCTGCCTTGGCAGGAAGCAGAGCTTGGTGGTTTCAGCGTGCTCTTCACGAGCGTCTGATGAGTCACACCTCTGCTCAGGGTGATCTGCGCAAAGTCATGGTGTGCCCCGCTGCAAGCCACGCAGCTTGAGTCTGCGTAACGGGACTGCAGTCCTGCTCTATCCCCGGGTTTGTCCCATACGATGGAAGACAGTAGGTGTACGAACGCCAGAGTCCCAAACATTTGGATGCTGTGCACATGGCAACACTTTCTTTTCTACAAAGATGCCAGAGCACAATTTGTATCCATCAGTGCATCCCACGCTGAAAGAAATGCGTGGCTCGTTCCGGGAGACAGGGCCAAATCGTAATTGTGCAGAAACTTTGCCACCGGTTTCCGCTGGATCCGGGTTTGGCATTTTTTTGGGTGCTCCAGATGTTTGCTGTTTGTCTAAACATACAGGCATGGACTCACTCAATACCTGCGTCATCCCAGAGCGAAGAGGTCATCTCACAGCTGAAAGTAGGCTAAAAAAAAGTCAGTGGTGTTGCATCATGCCCACAGTGCCTAGCGAGAGCAGAGCTCTGCGTTTAACCTTGTTTTATCCTTCATGGCTCCCATGACAGAAAGCAGCTCCGTTTCTGGGGTCTGTGCTGCTCTCCCGGGCAGCACAGCCTTCTTCGGGGGCTGCGGGCTCTCCCGCTCCGTGGGGAAATGCGCCAGAGGAACAGAGCAGAGCGCAGCCACTTTCCAGCAGGCATCTGGGAAATGAATAAAGACAGAATCCCTGCTGCATCGCAGCACCTGCTGCCTGTTATCACTGGCTATTATGGGATGGAAAGCGGCTCTGCTTCTTTAGCGTTTGGAAGTGAAACCTGACCTCCAAGTGTGCTGACTGCTCCAAACAGCTAGCTCCGGGCTGGATGGCTCCCTGTCCTCCCCGGGGCACAGGAGCCATGCCGTTGTGTGGCCAGCCACCTCTCGGGCTGCACCACCCCCGGGACTGTCCCCAGGGCCAGCCACCGCGTCCCAGCCCCCTGCCTCGGCACAGCTGATGCCAGGTAACAGTGCCCTTGGTTTTTCGAACAGTTTGAAACTCAAGAGCTTGGAGTTCTGAGGTCTCGTCTAGGAGTTTAAGAGCACTGAGGTCGCGTCTGATCCGCAGGCAGGGAGCCAGAAACAATCCACCCTTGTCACTTCGGTCGTTACAGCCCTGTTTATTGCCCCTCGCTTCGCTTTGCAGAGTTTGAGATCTGGTACCGCGAGTCCTTCCTTATCCCCAAGGATGTGCAGGAAGCTCTGAAGCCCAGTGGCAGCATCAGACCTGGAATGATTCCCATAAACAGAATCACGTGCCTGGTGAGTTGTGCTGGCAGCTCTGCTGATTCTCCTCGATAGCCACGCGTGGCATGGTAATGAGGGTACAGCTAAGCCCGTGGGAGGAGGAGGAGGGCATGGCAGCTCGGCCCCTTTCTCTGAGCGTTGAAATGCTATCTGCTATGATGCAGAGAGCAACTGTCTGGAGATAACATCTTGCTTTCAGTTTAGCTTTACCATTAAGAGGCTAAAATAGGACGCAGTGATTGAAGTACCCCATGATCAGTAACCAGGCAAGCTGCCCAGGGGTGCGAGGGGTAGCTGGGAGGCTTGTTTCCAGTCTGTATGATCTGTAACGCTTACGGCTAAACTATTCTGTTCTGTGTTGTGGCAGCTGATACTCAGCCAGCCCTCTGCTTAGAAACCACCCCTCTGGGGTACGCGGGGTCTTTTGTCATTCCTGACAAAGCACATTTCTCTGAAGCTTCTCATTTACCAGACTTCTTCGTTGCGTTACTCTCCCCTGAAGTCATTCCAGGTTCTGTCCTTCGCTGTTAAATGTCAGACTCAAAACCTTCACGCTGTTGGGTAGGAACGTGGTGGCAGTGCTTCCACTCTGTCTGACGTGGTGAAGTGATGCATGGCAAGGAGAGCGAGCCCACCCTGGCTGCAAGGGGGGGGGGATCAGCCCTATGTATGCAGCTGTAACACATCTGCATTAGTGCGGCTCAGCCTCTGCAGGTCGCAGAGAGCAGCTGGTGGGGACAGGCCCTAGGTCCATCTCTCGCAGGAGCCCGTCCCTACCAGGAACAGGGGCACCCACAAGTGTGCAGGGAAGGGAATCAGCAGGGCGTGAGCTTTGTGAGCCCTTTCCTAAATGCACAGCCCCGCTACTAGCTGATGTGTGGTGGGGGACAGGATGGCTTTAGCTCTTCAGAAGGAAAACTGAAAAGGAATTCTTATGTCTCCAGGTGCCTGATTATTTTGACTGCAAATCTCAGTGAAGCATTTTCTCTACTCCCTTCTGGAAAGGCATGTGAAGGGTTTTAAAGCTGAGCAGAGACAGGTTCTTTCCATCCTACTGAATTAGTTCCCTTGAGGGTATGAGTAACAAGCATGATGTGAGAAAAAAAAACAAACGCAGTGAGTTTACTTTTAAACAGAATGTTATGATCTACCAGACTGTGGAAGATTTCAGATACAGATGTGGACCTGTATGGGTAGGAACGAAAAAACCCAGCCCAGCCCAAATCCCTTTGGATAAAGCGATGCACCAAATGAGGTCAACAGGAGAACCGTGACTGACTGCACGGCTCCAGGACGTCACTCTTTGGGGAAAAGCTGGTCACTTTTACTAACCCAAGTTACTCCATGCATTCATAGAAACTCCCTTAGTGGTTTCCAGCCCTGGGTTTCTTGTCATCGCGTCAGTTATAACCCTAGAGATGAATCACAGAATGTCACGGTCTGGAGGGACCCCTGGGGATCCCCCAGCCCAACCCCCTGCCCAAGCAGGGTCACCCAGAGCAGGCTGCACAGCACCGCGGCCAGGCAGGGCTGGAATATCTCCAGAGAAGGAGACTCCCCAGCCCCTCTGGGCAGCCTGGGCCAGGGCTCCGTCACCCTCAGA